CCACACACTCAGTGTTGGTATTCGAATCAAAGTACCGTATATCTGACAGATTGTGAGGCACAAAGCAAGGGAGTAGAAGCCCTCGGCAGAGTGTCGTCCTCCCTTAAGGAAGAACAGGAGGCGCAAACAGACCCCCTTGCACCACTTGTCGCGATGGTACAACGGGGAGTGGACACCAGGGAACTAGAACAGGGGTTTGCTAAAGTAACTATAGCCACTCAGACTGAAGGGGAAATGGCGGGAAAAGAAGAAAGGAGCAGAACCACCGTGGAGGTGGGAACGGGGATAGAAAAGGGGCAAGGGACGATATACCGGGGGGCTGGGAGTTAATATGGGTGGAAGATTCCTGGACCGGGAAGTGTAAAAAGGTCCAGGTTCCCAGACTACAGAAGAAGAGGTCTGCCTCCTTGACCCTCGTATTGGGAGGAATCAGAGGCGCGTGAGTGGCGCTGGAGATTGAGGGAGGAGAAAGAAGCTGTGGAGAGGGAAGAAAGGGAGAGAAGAGCATGGAGGCTGGAGGAAGCCTGTCAGAGAGGGTTCTGGCTGGACCGTGGGCTCCCATACAAGAGATGAGGAGACCATACCACTAACAGACCCAGGAATGGACTTTTTGAACTTGGATGACAATAATCCCTTTACCAAGAGTCCTTGGAATGATTCTTAATTTAATCCGCTTAACAGAGATGTTTGGATTCCTTTGTGGGACCCGTTGGTTGCGAGAGACAATGTTGGAGCACAGTTAGAAGCCAAGAACCTGTTGTTCAATGTTCCAATAAAACCCAGTTTTGACTTTGCATTTCATGAGCCTCTGGTGACAGTGTCCAAACCAGAAGAGACCCCATTTGAACCCTCACACAGATGGCTGATTGATTTTCTCTTAAATGCCTCCACTGTTGGAGTGCTCACCATCTCCTGAGGAAATTTTTGTTGTACTGCTCTGACAGGAATTTCCCCCCCAATATTCAGCCAAAATCTTGCTTCCTGTAACTTCAGCCTATTAGTATGTGTCCTGCATTCTGGGATGACAGATCCTGCCCCTTCTCAGTATGATACTCAAGTATCTGAGAAAAGTGCTGTTCTATCTCCCTTTAGTCTTCTCTTCTCAAGGCTCAACATGTCCAGTTCTTTCCATTTTTCTTCATAGGACTTGACTTTCCTGGTCATCTTTATTGCCCTCCTCTGAACTTGTTCCAGTTTGTGGGCATCCTTCTTAAAGTGCAGTGTCCAAAACTGAACATAGTACAGTATTCAAGATGAGGCCTAGGTAAAGGTAAAGGTTCCCCTTGACATTTAGTCCAGTCGTGTCCAACTCTAGAGCGCGGTGCTCATCCCCATCTCCAAGCCATAGAACCAGTGTTTTGTCTGTAGACAGTTTCCGTGGTCACGTGGCCAGCGCAACTAGACACAGAACGCCGTTACCTTCCCACCGTGGTGGTACCTATTTATCTACTCGCATTTACATACTTTCAAACTGCTAGGTTGGCAGGAGCTGGGACAAGCGACGGGAGCTCACCCCATCGCGTGGATTCAATCTTATGACTGCTGGTCTTCTGACCTTGCAGCACAGAGGCTTCTGAGGTTTAACCTGCAGCACCAAAGCATACCCTAAGATGAGGCCTAGGTAAAAGTAAAGGTTCCCCTTGACATTTTGAGTCCAGTCGTGTCTGACTCTAGGAGGTGGTACTCATTCCGTTTTTCAAGCCGTAGAGCCAGCACTTGTCCAAAGACAGTTTCTGTTGTCACGTGGCCAGCGTGTCTAGGAAATGCCGTTTTACCTTCCTACCAAGGTGGTACCTATTTATCTACTCGCATTTGCATGCTTTCAAACTGCTAGGTTGGCAAGGAGCTGGGGCAAAGCGTGGCCCATGTTTAACCCATACACCTGGTCTCGTGTGGTTATTCTGGTGTAGGATGGCAATTCTCATGCCAGGGGAGGGGCGAAGGGAATCCCCCGAGGAGGCGTGTCTTTGCCAGCTGCCCAGATGCCACGCGAGACTACAGAGCTACCCCGAGAGGAGCCAGGGGGCGTGGTGAGGAGCAGGGCGTATTTAAAGGGGAGCATCCCTGTTGTTGCCCTCTTTTGTGTGGTTGAGTGACAGCCCACCAACCCGCCCTATATTCTAGTGTGAGATTAGCTGGTTGCCCATCGGGGGGGCGGATAGATGCCGGATAGAGGGGGATTTAGTACTTCACCAGATTTGGGGACTATGTTTGTGATAAAGTAACAGCATTTGCCCTTTTTGCAACCATATCACACTGTTGGCTCATATTCAGCTTGTGAGCTGTAACAACACCAAGATCCTTCTCACATGTAGTATAACTGAGTCATATATCCTGCATCTTATACTGTGCATTTGGTTTCTTTTTCCTAAGTATAGAACTTTGCACTTATCCCCATTAAATTTCATTCTGTTGTTTTCAGCCCAATACTGAACCCTATCAATATTTTTTTAAAAAAATTGTTTATGTCATCCAGGTATTGCTATTCTACCCAATTTTATATAATCCACAAATCTGGTAAGTATACTCTGCACTCCCTCATCCAAATCATTAATAAAAATGTTGAAGAACACTGGGCCCAAGACTAAGCCTCGTGGTATCCTTGTTACCAGTGTACCCAGTGTAAGAAGGAGCCATTGATATGCACTCTCTGCATGCCGTGCTGTAACTGTGTATTCACCTGATAGTTCTTCTGTCCAGCCAACATGTAGCTAGTTTACTAATCAGAGTATCATGGACACTTTCTCAAAGGCTTTGCTGAAGTCAAGGCATATTATATCTACAACATTCCCACTGTCTACCACGGAGGTTACCCAATCAAAAAATTAGATGTCATTAGTCTGGCAGGATTTGTTGACAAATCCATGTTGATGTCTAGTTATTACTGTACAGTGGTGCCTTGCATTACGATGTCAATTCGTTCCAGCGAAATCGCTGTAGAACGAAAACATCGTAAAGTGATATTAAAAAGCCCATAGAAACGCATTAAAACCTGTTTAATGCGTTCCAATGGGCTTAAAACTCACTGTCCAGCGAAGATCCTCCATAGGGCGGCCATTTTCGCTGCCTGTCTTGCGCGGAATCCGTCCCTAAACACAGTGGGGAGCCATTTTCTTTACCCGGTGGCCATTTTGAAACCACCGATCAGCTGGTGGAAAATCGTCGTTTTGTGAAGAATCGTTTCCCGAAGCAGGGAACCGATCATCGCAAAGCGAAATTCCCCCATAGGAAACATCATTCATCGTAATGCGATTTCGTCATGAAACGAAGCAATCGTAATGCGAGGCACCACTGTATTGTTTTCTAGGTGCTTCCATAGTGGCCACTTAATAATCAGTTCCAGAATTTTCCCTGGGACTGGTGTCAAGCTGACTGGTCTGTAATTTCTAAGTTTCTCCTTTTTGCCCTTTTTGAAGATAGGAACAATGTTAGCTCTTCTTTTCCAGTTTATCCAGCACTTCACCCATCCTCATTATTTTAGGAAAATAACAGACAGTTCTGAGATTTCTTCAGCCAGCTCTTTCAAAATTTTTAGGTGCACTTTGAACTCATTCAGAGTAATAAGGCATCCCTTGTCTATTTGTTTATCGATCTCAAGTTGCAATTTAAATCTGGAGATACAAGGACAAACTATGGCAACATATCATGCTACTTTTTTTCTCTACAAGATGAGAGTTCTTGTGTTCAAAATCTATTCTTGTTAGTAAATTTAAGCCATACCATAATTAAAAATACCCTATTTTTTCACATTTACTATAGGCTAGGTGATCTCAGAGGAGCAAAGAGCCATTTTGAAATATTTTAGAGCAGCCGAAAGGTCACACTGCCAAGAAGAAGCTAAAGCGTAATGGTGCCATCAAAGAGGCTAATCTCCATATTTTTAATTTTTGAAAACCATCAATGTAGCATACTGAAAACCAAGACTTCTTTTATTGAGTCAATCTACCTTATGTTCAATCTCCCTCTCTTTCTACTGTCCTTAACTTTTCTTAACACTATTGTCTTTTTCTATAAGTATTCTTTCCTCATAATGCATCCAAATTAAGATAGCTTCAGTTTAATCATTTTATCTTCTCTTTCAAACATTTGATGTAGGACCACTTATTTTTCTTTCTGGTGGTCCATGGTGTTTATAGGCATTCTATTTATATAGGTTTATAGAAAATAACCATGCTCAGATTACATTTATTTAAGGTTACAAGACCCTGACATTTCTTATGGAAACCTTGTTTATTTGGCTTATCTACTGGCTACATTATTTCTCCTATTTACAGTTTTGCCTACCGTATTTTCCGGCGTACAAGATGACTTTTTGGGCCCAAAAAACATGCCTCCAAGTGGGGGGGTCGTCTTGTACGCCAGGTGCACTGAATGACACGGGACTGCGCTGGCCGGGGAGGAAGGCAGGCGGGCAGGCAGGCAGTCGGTCTGTATGGAGGGAGGGAAGCACAGCCTGCCATGCCTGAGTAGCCAGAGCCTGCCGCCGGGCTGCCCGCCGCCGCGCACTTCACCCGCCCCCCGCCCTTTTCCCTTTTCCTCCTCCTCCTCCTCAGCCTCTTGCTCTTCCTCGCCCTCTCGCTGCCATGCCTGAGCCGCCACCAGGCTGCGCGCTGCCCCGCACCGCTGAGCCAGCCGCGCGCTCGCTCGCCCGTCACCCCCCCATTTCCCCTCTTCCTCCTCCTCCTGTTGGGGGGGGGATCGTCTTATTTGGCCGGTCGCCTTGTGCGCCGGCAAATACGGTAAAAAAAAATTTATGACAAAAATATTCATCTCTCATATTATTTGCAAATGCACTAATGAGGACAGATCAGGTTCCATCAGTGAGCTTCATGTTACTTGACAGAAGCTTTTCATTCTCAGCTACATTATGGCAAAATGTTTATCTTTACTGTACAAATATAATCAAAAAAGAATCAAAAAGAGTGTAAACTGGTGCTTCATCTCTAAATACTAATTGCCCAGTATTTTTCAAATAAAAACAGTCAACGAATGGAGCTCACCTTAAATGATATTTCATACTGTTCTCCTCCCCATATCTCCAGGCCTGCATCATATCCTCCCAACTCCCAGAACCACTTTCTATCAACTGCGAACAGTCCTCCAGCCATTACAGGAGACCTTAAAGTAAAATAAGAATCCATATTAGCAATATATCAATACACTTCTCCAATCATTACAGATCTAGATGAATTACAGTTTCATCATCAAATGGAGTTGCAGTATTATTTTCCAAGACCCCTTCTTAACAATATTTGCAATCCCTGCAGTGTTACTGCTTTATGGTGCTTTTTATACAACAAAAGAGAGGTTAACAGGTGGCCAACACAGATCATTATAAAGTACATATAAAAAAAGTACGAAGTACAACACATCATTGTTTTCCCCAAATCTCAGTATTTTGCTTTTAATATCTCCTGTCCCCAAGTTGGTTGAAGTCTAATTTCTCTACATGCAACGGAGCTCACTTAATTAATGGCTAAGCTTTCAATTATAAAATGCAAAATTTCAGCCCATGTTTTGCAATGAAAATTGCTGGATACCAGAAAAACATTTCTGTTCTCTAGAGCAGCCATTCTCAGTGGAGAAGGGAGGGGGCTGGCATATTTGAAGGGGCCCCAGACTGGAAAAAATTCTTCACGCACCACCTTATAAGGTTTGTTATGTGTCTTACAGAATCCTGATTTGGACTATATTTCGTTCATATTTTGTTTATGGCTGTGACCAAAAAAAGTTGAGAATGCCTGCTCTACAGCAATAATTGAAAATCATTACAATTGTTTGACAATTTTCTTTAACATGATAAATTTCCAATGGTTTCTTTAAAAAATTATCTGTTGGTATTTTCTACATATGCTTAGTTTTTTTTTCCAGTGTGTCTGTCTGTCCGTCCGTCCGTCCGTCCGTCCGTCCGTCCGTCTGTCTGTCTATGTATATTTATACATTTACATTTCTACCCTGTTCATAGCATATGAATGATTTATGAAGAACCTAACTAACATGGACTCTCCTTTTTTCTGCCTGTCTATCAAACTATTGTATCTTTTATGTAAAAATCAAGTGGGGCACCTTCTGGAGGTAAAGCTCCCCCAACCCCCCCAACCCCCCAATTTTGTTTAAAAGATTTTCCAGAGGTAGTTGAGGAAAGGACAAAATTAATTTCAGTGCAACTGCTGCTGGAACAACATTCAATACACTCTATGTAGATACTCTATGTTTGTGTAGATTTCACCAGTTCTAGTTGTGTGTTATTGCTTTTTAAATCACTTATTTCTTATTTCAATTACATATTACTTTTTGTAGATTTCCAAGCTTTGTCATTTTCCCTTTTGTTTTTGTAGACAGAAAATATCACAAAACTACAGATTTTGTGGTGTTTTCTTGCGAAAGGAAGCCCTCTGTTTTTCAGTGGGGAACCATCTCTTTTTGTTCATCTCTTAGGGGTGGTGTATTTTACTTCAATCCAGGTGGAACTGCTTCCTGCTGCCATGTGTGATCCCTGATAGGTGCTTGCGGGGATGTCAGTTCTTTTCAACCTACTGTCTCCAAGCAATGGTTTTTAAATAATTCTTTCCAAAGTTAGCACTGTAACACATTAGCACTAAGTCATTTTGGAAAAATAAAAAATAAAAATAAAGAAGAGGTGAAGGAAAGGGTTAGTCCTGCTGGAAACTGCTAACTGGCACCTCATTAGAAGCCTATTCACAGCTCTCTTGCCTTTGCTCCTGGTGGCTTCTGAAACAAAATGATTGCTTATATTCATCTGGACAGCTATCTCTATAGCTGTCCAGATGAACAGCTAAAGAAACTAGCTAATGAACCAAAGAAACCAGCAGGGACCCAACTGAAAAACTGTGGAGGGGGGTGGTCTTCTCTATGGTGTACCTGCAATCTAGCTTAATTGACACCTATTCCCATGTTGTTTCATGAACTTACTCAAAAGGATCACTGGGATCAGGTTTCTGTAATTCAGGAGGAATTGGTATCCGTTTGTAATACATCTCCCAGTCAAATGCTCCTCGCATTGCATCTCCTGCTTGTGTTTCATAGCCAAAGTGATCATGGTCTATTACATCAATCATTGGACAGACAATAGTTTTGCGATTTCGAGCAATACGGTCTGAGGAATAAAGATAAATATGTTAAGTGTGCATTTTCTGCATCTTGCACATGTGACAAAATAATATAACTACAGCAGAACAAAAAAGAACCCAGAACCCTGGTTTTGTTTCTCTTGCTACTAAACAAACACACCATTCAGGTTCACATTAAGTACCTATACTACTCACAAAAACCTTTTAAAGGTCATCTTGCTTCTGGTATCAGAAGTTCTGCTTTTATTCATTATCTCTAGGATGACTCCTTTGCCTTCCCCTATGGCAGGGGTTGCCAAACTACGGCTCACAGGCCGCATCTGCACCCACTTGCCTTTTTATCCATCATGGGCATAGGAAGAGGGAAGGGGGAGTCACGCAATCTCCCACCCCTGCTGTCTTTGCAAAGACAGTGGGGCTGGTTGACTGCTTCTATCAGGCTTCGCTGAGCATAGGAAAAGGAGGAAAGGGGAACCACAAGCAATGCACCCTGCCGGTCAGAACCAAATTAAATAATTATCAGGAGGAGAACTTTTTAACTCCTTACTGGACAAACATATATTAAAGAGTTTCTATTTCTGCTGTAAAAAGATTTGAAAAAATACAGAATGAATATTCAGAAGCGCACTCATCTAAGCCAGTGGTTCTTAACCTTTGTTACTTGGATGTTTTTGAACTGCAACTCCCAGAAACCCCAGCCAGCACAGTTGGTGGTGAAAGCTTCTGGGAGTTGCAGTCCAAAACTCCTGAGTAACCCAAGGTTAAGAACCAGTAATTTAAGCTATGAAATTACTGGTTTTTCCTCTGTGGTTGGGGATGGTTTTACAGAGCTTTGGTGCCTATTCCACAAATCTTGTCACTGTATAATTTTCTGGTAAATAAGAAAGAAAACCTCCAAAGATGTTGTGTGCCATCAAGTCACTTCTGATGTGTGGTGACTAATGTGTGTTTAACAGTTTACATAGATAGCTGTAAGAGACAGAAAATGCTGACTTTCATGGCTGTAGCATTACAACCTGGTAAGCATTAGTTGATTACAAGATCCGAGGAACAATGCAAAACTGATTTTTGTATGTTATACGTGAAATTATCAGATGAGTTATAGGCTTGTCATACTCAGAATTTATGTATCCTGAAAGTACAACACATACCACACAATTACAACACAGATATTTAAATGTTTTCCAAGACGTCTTATTTGGTCATGCCAAAAATATTTTCTTTTACGTTTAATGACCTACTAACCTAGCATTTGATTAAAGAACAAAAATATTTCTAACCGCAAAATGTCAGATTGCTATAACTGAGATGTACAAACTAGACAAAGTGGAGTATTTAAAATGATCCAGTAGATTACAACCACCTTCTCTTTTTTTGGTGCAAGTTCAAAATGAGTTTAATAAGGGAATGTGACATTCAGTACTAATATGTTTCCTACTACTTTGCAGACTCAGGCAGGAAATGATTCAGACACAACACCATATTATGTCTTGACAGGATGATGGCCTAAATCCAATGCAGACATCTGCTAGTGGGACTGCTTGGGAGGAGGGCCTCCTCCTTCCCCACTGCACTCCCCCTACACACCACAGAAAACTTCATCAGAAAGTTAGGAATTTCCCTAGAGCTGGTATTCAGCTGGCATTAAGGACTGCAAACAGATGGGAGAGGATGAAACTTCTGTTGCACTGGATTTAGGCCAAAGAATTCAGGTCAAAGAATTCTATCTGTTTCACATCTTTATTTACAGTTGGACTGTACAGATAAAAGGTTCACATGTTCTTAAATAACCTTCTTCAGGACTTGATATACTAATATTACCCATTCAACTTGATATACTCAATTTTAATGATGTTATTTTCGTCTAATCTAGGGCACATATTTCAGAAAAAAGAAGTTACCTACCTGTAACTCCGTTTGTTCAAGTGGTCATCTGTGAATTCAAACTAATGCACACTAATGGGTTAATCTGCACCTGAGCAGAGCAGCTTTGGAACCTTCTAGAGATTAAGCACATGGTGCTGGGACCTCCCACACGCCGGCTATAACCCTGCCCCCTGAACCGAGTGCCTCAGTTCCGTTGAACTGTCCGCCGCTGTGCAGCATGCCACATGGCACACATGACAAACAGCAGGGAGGAAGGGCGGGGAGTGTGAATTCACAGATGACCACTCGAAGAACCAGAGTTACAGGCAGGTAACTTCTTTTTCTCCTTCGCGGTCTCTGTGAATGCACACTAATGGGTGACTAGCAAGCTGATTTACCAGGTGGTGGGCATCACAACAAAACAGAAGCTAGGACTGCTCTTCTCACGGCAGCTTTTGCCTTAACTCAAACATCCAGGCGGTAGCGGGATGCGAAGGTGAAAGGTGTGGACCACATAGCAGCCTTGCAAACATCTGTCAGCTCCATCCCCCTCAGGAAGGCCATAGAGGAGGTAACTGCCCTAGTAGAGTGGGCCCGAACAGTAAATGGTAGAGGTGTATGAGCCTTTTCATATGCCAACCTTATCGCCGTGACTATCCATCTGAAGAATGTCTGCGGCGACACAGGCAATCCTTTAGATTGTCCCTGGAATGCTACAAATAGTCTCTGGGAGGACCAAAAAGATGCTGTCCGGGAGAAATAGTAAGCAAGAGTCCTCCTGATGTTGAGTGAATGAAGGGACCTTTCTAAATTTGACAACGGATTTGGGAAGAAAGTAGGCAGCATTATGGGCTGATTAAGGCGGAAAGATGTAGCTACCTTTGGCAGAAGAGACATCTGGGAAGAGGGTGACCTTTTCCAGGTGGAATTGTAAAAACAGTGGATCTATACGCAGAACCATCAGTTCACTCACACGTCATACAGACGTGACAGCAAGGACAAAAGCTGTTTTTACGGTAAGTAATTTCAAAGAAGTGGAAGCCAAAGGTTCAAATGGTGAAGACATCAGCTTCTTCAATACAAGTTACAGAGACCACTGAGGGTGGGCGCTCTGTAGGAGGGATGCATATTGTTAAGGCCCTTCAAAAATTGCTTCAATGTTGGATGTCGAAACAATTTGGCCACATCTGAAGATGGAGGCTGATGGCCAACAACTGCAGCTATATAAACCTTGGGTAGGTAGAACAGGGAGGTTATTTTTTACAGCAAAGTCTGAAAATATTTTCCATTTGTAAGCATAAGTGGCAGCAGTGGGTGGTCTCCGAGCTCACCGTAGAACATCTGCTATTGATGGACTAACCTCCAGGCCTTGAGGTGTAATGTTTCCAGGTCCGGATGTAGTGTCCTGCCGTCATGGAGAGAGAGTAGGTGAGGTAGCATTGCTAGATGAAAATGGTTGACTGAGCTTTGATGTAGCTGGGAGAAAAGAAGGTTACTTACCTGTAACTGTAGTTCTTTGAGTGTGAATTCACACATATGGGTAATGTCCGTGCCTGCAGTGACAATCTCGGGAGATTCTAAAGCTAAAAGTAACAATTTTACGGTGTGATCTCCCATGAGGCAATGCTCCTCCCTCTTGCCTCCCCTTTCCAGTTCCTCTAATATGTCTGCTGGGCAAAAAGTTATGAGATTGATAGTTAATTAAAGTGCCTTGCCGGACAGGGGGAAGGATGGGAGGGTAGTGTGAATTCAAAGAGGACCACTCGAAGAACTACAGTTACAGGTAAGTAACCTTTTCTTCATCATGGCCTCTGTGAATGCACACATATGAGTGACTAGCAAGCTTCACTTACTGGCAGGTGGGACGTCACGGTAGGAAGGATGCTAAGACAGCTCTGCCAAATCCGGCATCAGTGCATGCTCTGACATCTAAGAAAAGACTTCCATTTGTTTTCATAAAGGATTCTTGTGGACGACTTTCGAGCCCGATCTATTACTGATTGAATGTCGGGTGAAGGGATGGGAGGTCTGGGTGGCACACCATCCCGTCCTTCATCGTTAGGAGATTGGGGAGGAGAGGAAGTCGGAGCATGTCTGTGGACATCGACTAGAGATAAGGGAAACATGGTTGTCTCGGCCTCCAAAGTGCTATCAGGATCATGTCTGCATGGAAGTCTTGGATCCGAATCACAGTCCACTGAATGAGAGGGATAGGCGGGAAAAGGCAGAGAAGTCCTCTGGACCACTTGATCATAAAAGCGTCCCCGATGGAGTTGGCATTGGTTCCAGCTCGAGTGCAGTAAATGCTGCATTTTGTGTTCGATCTCGTGGCAAAGATGTCTGGTGTTCCTTATCGATGGCAAAGGAGTTGACAGTTCGATGCCTTGAGGGACTGCTCGTGTAATCTCGATGTTAAGCGACTTATATGGTCCGCCAAGTAATTCTCTTCTGTGGAGATGTGTACCGCCATCGGAAAGATATGGTGCCAGTAACACCATTCCCAGAGGTCCATTGTTAGGCGCAAGAGGGAGGAAGAATGAGTGCCCCCTTGTTTGTTGACATAGAAAAGGGCAGTCGTGTTGTCTGTTGGCAGTTGGACTACGTGACCTCGGATGATTGCTAGGAAGGCTTTTATAATTGCTAATGGTTCTAGATGATTTATATGGAGCCTTGATTCAAATGTCATCCATAGACCGTGAATTTGGTATTGTAGACAATGAGCGCCCCATCCCCAGAGACTGGCATCGGTCGTGACTTGTACCGTGGATTGAAGGAGACAGAATGGGCGACCAACAAGAAGACTGGGCAGTGTAGTCTACCATCTGAGTTGATGTGAAAGTTCCATTGTTACTCGAAGCCATTTGGACTGGTCTGTCTGCAGGTTGAATTGTGCAAGGAACCATGCTTGAAGAGGTCTGAGTTTGAGCCTTGCATGCAGGATGACTGAAGTTGTCGAGGACATGAGTCTGAGGAAATGTTGGGCATGTTGAGCCATGACCAAGGCTCGGGGTCAAAACATGCTTTAGTTTTGCAATTTTTTCCTGAGAAATGAACTTGTATGGAATCGAATCGAGCTCCAATGAATGTAGCCGTCTGGTATGGTTCCAGATGGGATTTGGCATGGTTGACTTGAAGACCAAGGTTTTGCAGCGTAAGGTAGTGTGGGTGGCTCTCATGGAGTCCAGACGTGAGTGTGCCACAATGAGCTAATTGTTGATATAAGGGTATATGTGGATACCCTGAAGACGAAGAAAAGTGGCAACCGGGGCCATGCACTTTGTATAGGTCCTTGGAGCCGTAGAGAGTCTGAGGGGGAGGGAGCAGTATTGGTAAGCCGAATTGTTGAAGTGGAAGCGGAGGTAATTGTGGTGGGATGGATGGATGGATATATGAAAGTATGCATCCTTGAGGTCGATCAGGATGAACCAATCTCCCTGCGAAAGAAGGGGAATAACGGTGTCAAGTGTGAGCATTCGAAATTTTTGAATAATGTAATGATTGAAGGATTTGAAGAGTAATTCCGGTAATGACTGAAGGATTTGAAGAGGGAATAACACAAGCTCCAATTCACATTGCTGATGTAGCGGCGGCAGAAAACGGAACTGAGACGCTTGGTGCTGGGGGCGGGGTTATAACCAGTGTCTGGGAGGTCCTGGCACCATGTGGTTAAATTCTAGAACATTCCAAAGCTGCTCTGCTCAGGTGCAGATTAACCCCTTAGTGTGCATTAGTGTGCATTCAGAGACCACGAAGGAGAAGCCAATGTGTCAAACCATTTCACTTCATTGCTAAATCATGGATCATTAGGAAAATTTACCAGTCTCTTCCTGAACTATTATCTATCTATCTATCTATCTATCTATCTATCTATCTATCTATCTATCTATCTATCTATCTATCTATCTATCTATCTATCTATCTATCTATCTATCTAATTTATTTATTTATTTATTTCCTGCCTATCTGGTCAATATGACCACTCTAGGCGGCTTACAGAACCATAATACAACAACAACAAGAACAACAACAACAACAACAATAATAATGAGTTACATTAAATAGTAAAAACTTCAAGATGGGGAAGAAAATGAAAAATAAAATACAAAGAAAAAAAAGGAAAGAAACAGATATTAACTGGAAGGAAAGGCCTGACTGAACATCCAAGTTTTTAGTTGGTTTTTAAAAATACCCAGCGAGGGGGCCCCGCGAATCTCCAGAGGGAGATTGTTCCAGAGGCGAGGAGCCACCGCCGAGAAGGCCCGGTTTCTTATTTTTTCCTTCCGAGCCTCCCTTGGCGTCAGGCTCCTCAGCCTCATCGCTTGGCTCGCACCAGTGACATGGGTAGACCTTGGTAGGAGTAGACGTTCCGCCAAGTATCAAGGCCCTAAACCGTTTAGGGCTTTGTATGTAAGCATTAATACTTTGAAATCAACGCGGAACCGAATGGGCAGCCAATGCAAAGCGGCCAGAATGGGAGAGATATTATGGTATTTTCTCACACCACTGAGGAGTCTAGCCACCACATTCTGGACCATTTGGAGTTTCCACGTCACCCTCAAAGGCAGCCCCACGTAGAGCGCATTATTTCATTATTTCCATCATGTTATGTCTGTCGCATGCCTCTCCCATATTGTTACTTTGTGTGCTAATGAGATGGAGGGAGGGGTAAAGAACATGCCTGAAATTCTTACTTAATTCTAAATACATTCTCTCACCAAAAGCATCTTCTGAATTGGGCCTTTATCTCAACTGAAAAGTTATAGAGTATTTTTACCTGCTGAAAGAATACCATGCCATTTGATTTCATTACAGATGAATGTTGGCTGTTTATCTCTTATGTAAGAATTAGAACATGTTTAGAGAAGAAGCTAGACACCTCAAGAGGCTACCAAGTTGGACAGTTCTGTTCAAGAAGCCTCAGCATACTGCTTACCTCAATATAATTACTGCTTACCACGTTAGGAATTACCTCCCCACTTATCAACCTCCACTTCTCAAAAGAGGATCAGGTAATGGAATTATTAGTACAGTCTTGCCCCGCATTACGACGCATCCGCTTTACTACGATGTTTTTGCTATCGTAATTGCGATCGCAAAACGATAGTCTAAACAGAGAAATTTTGCTTAGCGATGGTTGGTTTCCTGCTTCAGGAACCGACTTTCGCTTTACGATGATCAAAAACATCGCCGGGTTTTCAAAATGGCCACCAGGTGCTTAAAATGGCTCCCCGCTGTGCCTAGGGACGGATTCCTCGCTATATAGGCACCGAAAATGGCTGCTGTATGGAGGATCTTCGCTGGACGGTGAGTTTTTAGCCCACTGGAACGCATTGAACGGTTTTCAATGCGTTTCAATTGGCTTTTTAATTTCACTTTACGATATTTTCGCTTAACAGCGATTTTCCTGGAACGGATTATCATCATTAAGCGAGGCACCACTGTATGTATGATGGCAACATTTTGCCTTTCACTTCAACAAAATCTAAGGTAATGATGGTTTGGAAATCCCCAAGACAAGACTTAATTAAAGACAAAATATATTAGGATTAGGTTGTAATCTAGGTTTTAGGTTTTTGTGTTCCTGATCATACCATATATAGTTAGAAATACTTGAAACGGAATCTGTGTAACAGACTGAAATATATTTCAAACAATATCCGTACCTAAAAGGGGTGGCAACCAGTTCACATTGGCCTCACAATGAGAGTCCAAAAAGGTAATAACGTCTCCCGATGCTGCAGAAGCCCCCAACATTCGGGTCCTTATCAATCCTTCTCTCTTTTTGGTTCGGAGAATCCTCACTTTGGGAAACTTTGCCATATAGTCTTCCAAGTGCTTTTTTAGGTGTTCTGCATGTAAAAAATAGAGTAAGATGTTTATCAGGCAGTCTGAAACTTTGATTACTGCTCCTTCTCTGAAGGACATATAACAATTTTTTCAGTTATGTTTATGAGTTTTACAGTACTTTTTGAACTTTCAGAAATTCTGTATTTATTTAAAACTGATTGTCAGAAGTAACATCATTAAGTTAGAAATTAATCAAATGTGAGTGAAAGTGCCTGAAATTAAGAAACATATATGAATATATTGACGGTTTTGAAAACTTTAATAGGAAGCTTGTATTCTAGAAATATATCCATGCAACAATAACCACAAAAATTCCTCTCTTGGAACTTCCAGTTGCATATTAGATAGTGTAGAGAACTCAAAACACATTTTCTGATTCTAAAATATGTTTGCCATGTAAAGTGTCAGGACAAACCAAACCTTGTGCCATTTTGTGGTTGAAATACAATACAGAGATACTTATGTGAATGCTCTGATCAGAAAGAACCCCTCCTAATGCCAAAACAGAACATGTAAAATAAGATTAATTTGAAAATCCTTCACCTATATGAGTAATACCATGACACTGAATTGTTCTGTTCATAAATACAAACATATGCAATTAATTGCTGTATATCTAGGTCAATGGTTCCCAACCCTGGATCCCCAGATGTTCTTGGACTAAAACTTTCAGAAGTCTTCACCACTAGCTGTGCTGGCCAGGATTTCTGGGAGTTGTAGTCCAAGACCATATGGGGACCTAAGGTTGGGAACCACTGATCTAGGCAATCAGGACATCCCTTAAAGAGAGTTCATTGAAGAATACATGCATGGCTGCCCCCTCAGCAGCAACTGTGTGGTTGTACAGATGCCACATTGTTTTGTTGCAATCTGGATGGGGTAAGTGGAGATGGAAAATATAACTGTACACTCATAATGGGTTGATTCATGGAAGAAGTCAGCCCCCAGAGGCAAATGTAAAGATGAAGAGAAGTATGCCTTGGCATAGGTATTTTTTGTGTTACATGTTCCACAATATAAAAGTGCAATAAAACGAAAATGTTGAACTGCAGAGGTAACTCTGGAATGGCCCTCTCAGAGTGATGCTGAGAACGATTCCTGCATCTGAATATTAAGTTGTGCTGCCCATTGGCAGCTGTTCAGAGCCACTAAGACAGTGATTTCTAAGAGCATTACTCAGATGGAAACACCTTTGAGGAGCAGCCTCTAGAATGCTTTCAGCATTCCACAACTGTGGCTGTCCAATATGTGAGTCTTGTTCAAATTGGACCAAATGGACCTACTGATATCAAGAGAGACAGAGGATGTCCTCAGAATATTCACTACAGTGCACTTAGAGCAATGCTCATTCAGCAATGCTCAGGGCCAAAAAAAGGATGCAAATAAAGAAACAGTACTAGAAGCCTTTGAATTACTTCTACTACATAATATGTAGTATTATGGCACAGTGGTTAAAACGCTGTACCTGCAGCTAAAACTGTGCTCACGACCTGGGGTTCAAATCCCAGGTAGCGAAACAAATAATGAGACCCAGTTACACAGATTATAGTGCAGTGAAAACACTGCTTGAATCGTATTTCCATACTGGACAAAATATGATGAGAGGCACTTTTTTCATCTCCTTCGAATGACAGAATATTTGCAAATCGAAGCTCATGTGATTTTTAAGTTAGTTTGGCATGTGGAACAACCCCTTCAGTGGAGTGTCATTGTTGTCAACAGAGACTATCTTCTAATCAGGGTACAAAATTGTCCCACAAGACCACTGAAACCAAGTCTTCCTACAAAGGAAGGTAGAATTTTAAATAGGACTGTTGTTCTTTAATTAGAACTTTTGTGAATTGTTTACAAAATTGGCAATCCTGTGCCTGATGTCCCTCACCTGGGCAACAGAAGCATTTAAGACTCTCCTTCTGTGAGGGGAATTTTGTTGGTGCTAGTGGCACATTTCTTAAAAGGGACCCACTGGGATAAAAAAGGCAGGAAGGCTAGAACAATGAATTGACGAACAGAAGCAGCAAAGACAATTTTTAAAGCAAAGATTAATGGCAATGGAGAGGGGTAAAATGAAGAAGGTAAGTGGAAAAGATGAACTACAGTATATACTAACTTTTTCTGGAAGTTGAGTCATGGTAATTGGACTTCTTTCTTATTAGGTTGTAACATTTCACTACTCATCCAAGTAGCCTCTTAAGTCTGAGAAGAGTTGGTAAGAGACTTCCAGATAACTTCACCTGGATGACTGAGAATCTTCACAGATATATATCACTATATATATACTGTACATATATATATATATATATATACACACACACACAAACTTTGTTGAGAAGAGATTAGGATCTAGAGAAGCTCTCAAGCTTCTGACTTCCCATAGTCATCTGGCTGCCAGACTAGACAAATTTGTGATTTAACCTTGAGCAGCTCTCATGTTCTGCCTGCATTTGTAAACATAATGGAGCAAGTGGTGGAGCAGGAAAATTCCAACCTTTTAAAAATGCTTGCAGTAAAGTATTTCCTTCTCAAGTAAATTAAAATTGCAACATTATAAAATTAATGAACTCATGTTACCAGTTATCATAAAAAAACCAGGGACCAAAGTAAGAATCTTGGTTAAGTATCATGTCAGGAAAGATTTTCTTGGCTCTTTATTACAGCTTCAGTTTTTGTTAAAACTTCAGTAAGAGTAAAGATAGTGAGAACATGGTCCTGATTAGTGTGTAATTTGGCCCATTCAAGAGATGTTTGTGTGACAGGGTGGAAAGTCAACATTCACTAACACACTTAGCTAAACATACAATCATTTACCATAATCAACTGCACAATTTGGTGCTATGTGACATTCGGGCTCTGTTCATTTATGCATGTCTATGTGTATAAAAGTACCTCTGTCACTGAAATCATCCACTAGCACAATTTCAGCTATCAGTTCAGGTGGAGAGCGATTGAGAACACTGTGCACTGTCCTGAGAAGTGATGACCATCCTTCGTTGTGGAACGGGATTATTACACTGGTGTTGGGGAGCTTTTCCAGATATAGCTTGCTATTGCAGCTAGAAGACAGATTACTCCAGTTACTACCTTGATCAGTATATGATAAACGTTACTACTTTTGAAACAATTTTGAATAATCACTCTATCTCACTGACTTGCTAAATATTAAATAGTTGATTGCATGAATTAGAACAATCCATGAAGGACAAGTTTGTTCCAAATGGGTCATCTCAGGCACGGAAACATAAATCTCGCTAAACCCATTCCTAATGTTGCTCTATTACATCAGCAGCCTTCAGCCTAAAAAGCATAAAGTACCACCAACAAATAAATACAGTGGTGCCTCGCTTAACGACGATAATCCGCTCCAGGAAAATTGCCGTTAAGCGAAAACATCAAAAAGCAAAAATAAAAACCCCATTGAAACACATTGAAACCCGTTCAGTGCGTTCCAATGGGGTAAAAACTCACCGTCCAGTGAAGATCCTCCATACGGCAGCCATTTTTGCTGCCTGTATAGCAAGGAATCCGTCCCTAAACACAGCGGGGAGCCATTTTAATCACCCGGCAACCATTTTGAAACCGCCAATCAGCTGTTCGAAAAACATCGTTTTGCGAAGAATCAGTTCTCGAAGCAGGGAACCGATCATTGCAAAGCGAAATTCCCCAATTCAGACCATCGTTTTGTGATCACAATTGCGACTGCAAAAAGATCATTGTTAAATGGTTTTGTCGTAATGCGGGGCAATCGTAAAGCGAGGCACCACTGTATACCACAAAAACACACAAGAGACAGATAATTAGGTACTGCTGGAAGATGTGTATATTACAACTTATATTTGATTCATTTACTTTTAACTGCTATTTCAGAAGTTTCTGAGGTACCAAGTTTTACATTTAATCTGAAAGATAACTATATGGAGGATTCATCTGACTTTTAACACCAATGCTAGTTGATATGTCATTTCAGAGAGAACACAGGAAAATCAGTTCTATAAATAAAAATTTTCATTTTCTCCATAACAAATTTGTACTTACTTTGGGTGTCGTATATCTGGTAAAGAGCGATTTAGAGAAATTTTGTCACTCACAAAAATATTAAACCCATTTTCTCTGTATGCCTGATCTACTCGTTCAGCATCAGTCATAGGATATGGTTTCCCCTGTTCTCCATTTCCTACAGGTACAAAACAAAACAAGAGGAGCCATAAATATCGTATCCTAAGCAGTAAAGAATTCATCCACATCAAAAGCTCAGGAAGCCATTTTAGCAGATCCTTTCTTTACCTTAGTTTCAGACAGTACTGTATTAGTTATGCCATACTCCATCACTAGCCTGGTATCATTTTATTAATGCACTTCATAACTGTTAAGCCACCAAGCAGTTGTAAGACAGATGATGCAGCTTTAAGAATGTTGTTTTAAGAACATGGAATGAAGCTGGAAAAGATACTGATATATGTTTTTAAAAAGGTCATAAACCTATGCTTGTTAAATTTATGAAAGTTCACAGGTATAGCACAGACATGGTTATTCATGAAATTCACTGCTCTTGCCATTTTGAGACCTCATTTTTCATGCATTTTTAATTCTTCACCTAACTATTTTTTAAAAAGCATATGGTTATTCACTTACACAGCTTTAACTTATTCTTTTTCCTTCTGGGGAAAGGCAGCCTCAATTGAAGGAGGCCACATAGTGTCTTTAAAAACCTGTAGGGGCTCCTATCAACGTTGCCTTCCCTCCATCTACCCTTGGAGTCAAACTCAGTCTGACAAATGTTATTTTTTTAGCACTAACCACATTCATCTATCTTCCAGTTCTAGTCACTTACAACTCTTGCCCAAAGATCAGATACTATGTTATCCAAACTTAAAGAATGATGGAGATTTTTCTATGGCCACTCACACACTCATTTCTACCTACAACATTAATCAAAGTGGTGTTACTGTGCCAGCCAAGAGGCTGCCCAAAGCTGTTGTAGCTTTTCCCACATCTGCCATATTCTCTCTCTTCTAGGGCTCTGTTCAAGTGCAAAACTGCTGCTCCCAGTCATTAGGCCAGCTGTTTATCTTTCTGTGCCACTCTTAGACCAGTTGTTTATATTTCTTTCTAAGCCAACAATAGCATATGGGCCCGCAGACAAATGCCAGTTTATTACATATTGCCAAACTATAAAATTCAAAACTTTGCTTAACATTAATTATTGTTTTCCTCTCTTCCTTTCATATTTAGTTCATTCTTCAAAGGACAAAAACCATTCCAAGGAACCCTCCCTATCTCACAATGATACTTACCTATGGGGCTGGTGTACTGTAGACAGCTCTCCTTCCTTTCCCTGTTATCCTGTCCACTGGGGTACTTCATACCGCACTCTCATTCGAATGGCTAGACCTAGCGCAGGAGTAGGGAAAGCAGCATACCAAAGTGGCTTCTTGGACAACCACCCCATGCTGCTAACTTGACATTTCCAAATTTTGGGGGCAATGAGTGCCTGATGTGATTTTTCCCCTAGTTCCTCTCCTTTAGAAGAAGCAGTCACCTTGGTGGGCTTCCAGTTACAGTTAATAATTTTTTTAAAAGACTAGCATGAAGCCTTGAGTAACATCTGCCCCAGGTACCAGACAGAAGCTTGGTAAGAACTGCTGACTTTCTTGATAATTTCTATTAGCTTAGATCTCCTCTAATATTTGTATATAGTACCATTTTACTTTTAGGATACTTAGTAGGAAAATATAGTATAGACAAAATATAGTATAGACAAGACTAAATGAGTTATCATACATACCTAACCTCTGCAAGTCTCTCTTTATAGCATCTCTGTCATGCCAGTCCTTTTTTCTTAGTCCATTATCAAGGTAAACTTCTTTCTTTTGTCTTGTATGGAAACCCTTTACAAAACACAAATACATTATATTTTTTAAAAAAGCATTCAAAGGTTTAATTAAGCAAATGGAATGTTATGCTTTCAAGATATATTTAAAAATTGTTTTTATCATTTTGATCCTATGTCAGTGGTTCCCAACCTTGGTTCCCCAGATGTTCTTGGACTGTGACTTCCAGAAGCACTTGTCACTACAGCTTGTGTTGGAGGCTTCTGGGAGATACAATCCAAGAGTGTCTGGGGAACCAAGGTAAGGAACCCTTGCTACATGTCACATGTTCATTCCAAAAGCTTATTCAACACTAGCAATTTGTTTATTCTTCTACAAGCAAAACAATTAATGCAACTACCAGGAAGAGATTGGATTCCTATCTTCACTCCTCACTCATAAGAAACCTATAAAAATTGATATATTATTTGGTATCTGCTCATTTCAAAATGTCAGAAAAAGGCCCATGCTTCCTTGGATTTTGTTTGTTTGTTTCTTCCAGTTCCAACTTCAAATGTCAATTAACTCATCAGTATTGCACATTTAAACATAATAACCATTGGAAGGACATTCCTCCATTTCCCATCATACAGCTGTCAATACAGTGGTGCCTCGCTTAACGATTTTAATTGTTTCCAAAAAAACACATCGCTATGGGAAAACATCGCTAAGCGAAACACGTTTTCCCATAGAGATGCATTGAAAACCGGATAATCCATTCCAATAGGAACAGATTGCCGTCCTTAAGCGAAAATCGCCATAGGAAACATTGCTAAATGATGCAGAAAATTCTTATTAAAAAGCCATCGTTAAGCGAATACATCGTTAAATGAAGCAATCGCTAAGCGAGGTACCACTGTATTCTTGATATGACAATTAAATCCAGTATCATTATTTGATGTACTAGATTTTTTTACCACTGTATTCTTTATATGACAATTAAATCTAGTATCATTATTTGATGTACTAGATTTTTTAAAAAAAGGATTTTACAGATTCAATAAGAAAATTTATAAAGTAATTCTGTTTTATCAGATTTAACCCTTCAAAGCTTTTTTTGACACCGCTGCATTCCCATCACATATGCCTGAAACTGCCAGTCTCATTTCTATAGCAGTAATTTATTGGCCAAAATCTTGCTGTAAAGTAAATTGCAGTAGAGTAGGTTCATTGAATCATTGGGGATTTAACAAGTTCTCCTCTGTAAGTTCCATTGATTCAAATGGGACTACTCTAACTGTGACTTACTTACTAAATCCTCATTGATTCAATGGGCCTTGTTGTTATGTGTCATCAGGTCAGCACTTATAGCAACTCTATTTGGGTCTTCAAGATATATTTAAGGAGTAGTTTTACCAGTTTCACTCCAATGAGTTTCAATGGCTCAGTGAGGATTCAAACCCTGGTGCCCACAATCCTAGTCAGTCACTCTACCCATTACATCACACTGGGAGCTGGGTGTAGGTTCCTGGTCCCCAGAATCCTAGTCAGTCACTCTACCTATTACATCACACTGGGAGCTGGGTGTAGGTCCACTGGGAATGGGCCTACTTCAGTGCAATTTATTACCCTAAGAAACAGGATCTGGGCCATTACTTTTGACCCTGGAAATATTTGTTCTTTTGGATTGGATAACTCCATCTGTAGATTATTTTTTATTGTATTTTAATTTCCAGATATAGTCCAATAATACTCTCAAAATTTTTACTCTATTTTGCTGATGTTGATATCCTACATCTCTCCTCCAATTGTCTTTAAATGTATAGTCTCCTACATCCTCAAAGAATGGCAGATATTTTAATAATATTGCTTATTATTTAATTTTAGTAAGCTTTCTAAATATGGCCTAACTTTTACACAGTCTTTGTGAACAATTCTGAAGCTGCAAGTAATGAAAAAAGATGTGTCCATCTTGTAAACTCTAGTATGATTTGATCTTATTTCCATTTGAATTTCTTTGTATGATTTAAGAGTATCACATTTTATAAAATTCAAATATCTTGTTATTTTACACCGTTCCCAATATTCAAAAGATGTTTGTTGCTTTACCTCAGCTAAAGCCTGTACTGTATATAAATTGCTTGTACTATAAGAAACATTAGAGCTGTGATGGTAATTCCATATTTATTCTAAATACTTAAAAATGTGACTTAACTCATCTCCTCTCTCTGATATAGCTTTGCTGTTTTGCTTGCCATAATTGTAACTCTTCAGCTTCCAAGGTTCATAAATACTTTTCCCTTGTGTTACACAGGGCTGAACAGCACAGTTATACACAGATTTTTTTCAATAAGCAAGCAAGCGAACAAGCAAGTGAACAAACATTCAATAAATAATATGCCACTGTCCACCAAGTATCCAATGACGTCAGTGAAGGTGTCAAAATGGTCTACTTGCCCCCAAACATATCTCTAATTCAGCCTCTAGATCTGGGGGTCATAAGGATCTTTAAGGCTCATTATACACAGTATGTATGGAAAGGATTATCAAAGTATTGGAAGAGAACCCTGATTGAGAGAACTCCTCCCTCCCTCCCCCTCTCTCTCTGGCTTCCAAAATATATTATCAGCGTCATGACATTTTAATTTCAGCTGTCCTTTCCTTGTTCCAAAGTATTCAATGTCATCTTCCCCCAAATGACCATAAGTGACAGATCGATGAGTGGGAACATATCTAGCTAAAAACTTGCCTCTATTATAAATTCACTTTCTCAATATGCTCTGCTACAGGATGGAGATGCTTCTCATGAACTACAGTACTTTCCAGGGTTACCATAAATATTGCTTAGGCAATGTATATAGAGTGCTTAGAAAATACTATAACATTATACAAAATTGTTATTACCACTATGAAAGAATCATACTGTATGCATTAGTGACTCATCACACCATTTGTGTATATTATCATCACAATACAAAATCATATATATCTTTCATATATTCTCTCTCCATGTCTCACATGCACAGTTAGCATAGTTAGTAGTGCATGAAAGAGAAGTTTCAAAAAAATGCTTTTCTAGGTCTCTTGAGACATGCATTTTTCTGTATTTTTAATAAGAAAAATTTAAAAGTAATGCATAACAGCCTGCCAAATTGCAACATTTGGACCAAGGTTAATTATTATAAAATTTTAAAGTAACAACACACTTTTCTAAGCAGCAGAGAATGTATTTCATAATTATACTGTAGAAGGCTATATTAGCCCTAGATTTCCTGCTAAAATATTTAGAAGGGAACCCAAGACTGTAAATTATATAAATCACAACTACAGTATTCAAAAGGCTCTCTTCATTTGTGCCAAAGCAGGTATTTATATATCTCATCAGTATAACAGAAAGCTGAGAGATTAAAGTTTTCCTGCAAATTCCACTATAGACTGTACCAGGCCTGAAAAGGTTTGGTTTTGGCTATTAAAAAGTAAATAATAAAAAAAAGAGGAAGTGCCTAGACAGGCACTTACGATTTTATTCTTTGGAAGTGGAGATATGAGGAGCCTTAGGTGATATGAGGGGCCCTAAAATCCCTCAGTGCAAAACGACTGTTGCTGCAGACGGTGCTTTTTGATACATCCTACTTAAAATTTTTCTTTGTTAGAGTTGGGAGTTTATCAAGTGGTGTTGGGACCAGAGAAATTCCTCTAGTGGTCCACATGCAGCCTATAAATGGCATTTTGCTCACCCCTGTATTAAACGGATTGCACCATGTCATGCCAGGCTGCTGATTTCATCACATTTCAGGAAGTGGCTATGTCCCAGGAAACTGTCCATTAACATATTTTACAAATACCAACTTCGTTGAAGAAATGGTTTTTCAGTGTACCATCCTCTCTGCACAGACGTCTGTCTCCTTTCTTGATCTTAGCTACTTCCAGCGATTGACACACATACTTCAAAGGTCAACTTCAAATAACATAATTAATACAACTTCAAAGCACATATTCTTGTGGATCAAAAGTCACAAGTCTGCATGAGAACAAGGCATCATTTTGAAAAGAGGGTTCTCCCTACAAGAGTGTTCTGCCTACAAAAGTTTGTATAGTAATTCAATTTTCATCCAACAACAACTGTACCAAATTCATCCAACAATAACTGTACCAAATTTTTTGAAATTGTAATTCTGCATTAAAATAGCTCTTTCTTGTTTAGTTGTGTCCAACTCTTCGTGACCTCATGGACCAGAGCATGCCAGGCCCTCCTGTCTTCCACTGCCTCCCGGATTTGGGTCAAATTAATGTTGGTAGCGTCGGTGACACTGTCCAACCATCTCATCCTCTGTCGTCCCCGTCTCCTCTTTCCTTCACACTTTCCTCAGAAAATAAAACAGCAACCTTAACACTAAGGGCAAACAAAAAGCTTGCTCATATTGAATATAACCAGGTATGGGTGTAAAGCAACTTTATAACTGGAACAGCAGCTTGCCTCTTTAAAAGTGGGACTACTAAAACTAGCACAGTGCGTATATACCACTCCACAGCATTTAAGCACTCTCTGGTCAGTTTACAATTTTTTTAAATTATGCAAGCTACACATTCCTCCCTCTACACGAGAAAACAGGATGCTCAACCCTAATATTGTTCTCACTTGCATGTGAAGAAACCTTATTTAATTTTTGAATAAACTGATTTCCTCCCAATACAGAAAATTGTATTCGGATGAATAATTACTATTCAAATTATTAATTCACCATTAAGAAACTGAACTAAACTAACACAGGGGAGGCCTTTCCCTTGGTCCTGACACCCTCACATGTGCATTCTGGTGAGGACATGGGAGAGGGCCTTCTCTGTTGCTGCTCATAGACTTTGGAATTCCGTCGCACAGGAAGCCAGGTTGGCTCTGTCTTTGCTGTCCTTCTACAATTAGCAAAGGCCTTTCTCTTCAAGCAGGTTTTGATTAGTGACTAGCTGTCTAGGAGAGTTCTAAAATGGGATGGTTTGCATTTTTACTGCATTTAAATCTGTTTTAGTAATGCTTTTACTTGACATTTTGAATATATTTAACTTTAAAAAATAATTTACGG